TTCTTCTATACTTTATATGAAGGACTAGCAGACCCAGTCCTCATTGGAACCATATTGAGGCCAGAACCCAGATGGTGAATGGATTGGTTCTTTTGGCCAAATAAAACAACAATATATCTTTTTCCCGGGTTTGGGGATTGTTCCCCCCAAGCCCTCAACATTCTCCCCAAAGGACTGACAAGAGGAATGTCTGTGGGAGTCTCTCCTGCTCCCTTCTTCCTGAGGCCTAGAATTCCATTTCCCATTTTCTTTTGATTTCCCTTGTATACGCAGCCTCCCAAAATTTCCCCCTGTTTGGGTACTCCTGGAGATTTCTTGCATACAATCCCAAGATTTCACTTTGTCTCTAACCGGATTGGGAGTTCACACTTGCTTCACATACAAGATGTGTCTCAGTCACACAATGGCTCCCGATAATGCCTGACCACCAGGGCAATATTTACAGTCCAGTTTTCCTGCCCTGGCCTGTGCACAGATTGTCTGGTTGCCTCACATACTCTCTTCTCAGTCCTCCAGGGCTCTCTCGCTAATTCTGATCACCTTTGAACAGTCTCTGGGCTTTTTCTGGTTCTCGCTGGGAGGCAACCAACCCTGTGGAGTAGGCTGCCAAAACCAAGGTAGGATGCGTCTCCTTTCTACCAGGGCTGCCGTTCCAAGTGGGCAGAAAATTCCAGACGGCCCTCAAATTTGTGAGAAACGTTGTCTATACTGACAAACACTCAAGTAATCCAATCTGTACTCATTTTAGCAAGAGTGAGGTTTTCTTTATTCAATTTTGCAAAATCAGGCGCCCAGCCCTGTAGACACGGGCAGACCTGTTACATGGCCATTTGACAAAGAGGTTTATTAACCTAACTTGAAAAAAGCCCCTCCACCATTTCCCCTTTACTGGGTACTTTGGAGTTCACAATCTTTCCTGAATGGAGCCTACTGGTCCCTATAGGTAACATTCTCATTTAAAGTTTGTTTCACCCCCTTCCCATGAACTTCCCCTACTTCCTTGGTGGGTGTATTCTTATTTTAAGAGTCTAGTAGCTCAAATTGGAGTCCTGGTGTGGTGCTGTGTGTTAATGAGCCAGACTGCAAAGCTGTTTGAACTGCAAGGTCAGAGGTTCAAACTCACCAGCTGCTCCTTGGAAACCTCAGAAACCCTATACAGGGCCGCTGTGAATCAGAACCAACTCGACGGCTCCTAACAACAACAACAACAGTAGGTCAAGCTAGTGTCTTCTTCTCAGAGTTCCCTTGTCAGTTGTTGTCAGGTGCCATCGAGTTGGAACTGACTCATAGCGACCCCATACACAGCAGAATGAAACAATGCCCGATCCTGGGCCAACCTCACCACCGCTGCCACACTTGAGTCCATCAATGATGCCACCTGGCCAATCCATCTCGTTAGAGGTCTTCCTCTCTCTCTCTGACCCTCCACCTTACCCAGCATGACATCCTTCTCCAACGATTGTTTCCTCCTACCCCCAAAATTTCCTTGATTCTGAAGATGGATCACCCCCATAGCTATTTCTCACATACCCATGATGATGGGGAACTCACCCCCTTAAAGCAAGCACATCCAGCAGACAGACGCCTGCAATTGGGGTTGATTTCCCACAAGAAGCTCTGGCTCCCTTGATCACATGTGTGAGAAATGCTGTGCATACTGACAAACGCTCAAGTAATCCAATCTGTACTGTTTTAGAGAGAGTGAGGTTTTCTGTATTTGATTTCAGGCACCCAACCCAGTGAACATGGGCAGACATGTTGAATGGCCAGCCAGTAAACAATTTTATTTCCCTGTCTTGAAAAAGCCTCTTCGTCAGTTCCCCACTGACAATTCTACAGGCACCTCCCTTTTGTTTTCCCTCCCACCCAGAGAAGCCAAAATGGCTCACCCACAGTCTTAATGACTGTTTTCTTATTTAAAGTTCCTAGTAGCTAGTGGTTACAAATCGGGCTGTGAACCTCAAGTTCAGCAGTTCGAAACTACCAGCTGTTCCGCAGAAGAAAGAGGAGGCTTTCTGCTCCCGTAAAGATTTACAGCCTCAGAAACCCTATACAGGGTCGCTATCAGTTGGAACCGACTCCACGGCACACAACAACAACAACAACAACAGTACTAGAACAGATTTCTTTCCTCCCTTCCCCTAATTCCAGGGTGTGAATCAACAATCTATGTCTGGCTGGTCTAGTAATCTCATGAGCCCTTTATATTTCTGAAGATAGACCATCTTGAGAATTTCTCACACATGGAAGAGAGGTTCAGCCACCTCTGAGAGAAGGATTTTAATAGGTTTTTAGTATGTATGTTTTAACCCTTTAAAATCATTGTTCCCAATCATCACTGCCCTGACTAATTTCTCCCTTATGTATGTATTCCAGGGAATGTAGCTGATGGACTTTGTGGTATATTGTTGATTAGAACTTGGAAGAAAGAGGCAAGATGGGAAGAGGAAAACCAGAGGGGAGAGAGAAAGTGTCTGGCATCCAGGTGTCTTCAATAACACCACCCTTTGTTTGAAGGGGAGAAGGGGAGTTACTCTCAGAATGTAAAGGACCTTGAGCTGGTAGAGTGTAGATTGCACTCCCGGAGGGAAGGGAGCATTAAACTCTGAGAAAGGAATGTGACAATAACAAATGGGTTAATATCCAGGAGGGTATAAAAACTCTAACTGTATGGGGGAAACCAAGGTGAACAGGAAAAGGTAAAAACATTCACTGCCCTCTCAGTCCAGGAATCAAGCTAGAATATTAATCAGGTTACTGAGTGGGACCAAGCCTTCCTGTATTCAAACAAGTCTGCAACCTAACCCCTTGCTGATTCTGATCCCATGTAAGTCTGCACTGCCCTGTATTTGGCGCTCAGAATCTGGAGAAATTAGCTCGTCTGAGCCAGCTGGCTTAATAAAATCTGAAACTCTGCTTCACCTTTCCGAGTGGCCTCTGTTTCTTCAATGATGGATCAAGAACAGCCATGACACTCTCAAATCTAAAAACTGCTGTAACAAGGCAGGCTTTGGAGAAGGGGTCTCACTGCCTTATAGATCTGTTAATAAAACGTATGTTGATTCTCACCCCATCTCTGTTATTGGCTACAGCAGCTGGTGGTTGGACTGTTGTTGCAAACACCTCCTGACCTCTCTCCTCTATATCCCCCAGCCTGAGTGCCTTTCCCCCAAATGTGCTCCTTGCCTTGTGACCCTGTGTCAACACCCTCTGTTGAGTAAGTTCACTGAGCCACAGGCTGGACAGGTGGTCACTTATCTATTAAGCACCTACTGGATGTCCAAGCACTTCACTCATATTTCCTCACCAACTCTGGTAGCGTAGTGGTTACGAATCGGGCTGCGAACCTTAAGGTCAGCGGTTCGAAACTACCAGCCGCTCCGCGGGAGAAAGATGAGGCTTTCTACTCCCGTAAGGATTTACACCTTCGGAAACCCTGTACAGGGTCGCTATGGGTCGGAACCGACTCGACGGCACTTAACAACAACAACAACCCTTCCTGGAGAAGTTGATTAGCTGTTGCACTGTAGGTTAATGCGCTGGATTGCAAAGCTCACCAACAGCTCCTCGGAAACCCTATCCAGGATCGCTATGGGTCAGAACCGACTGGACAGCACTAGCACTTAACAACAACATACAGATGGGGAAGCTCGGGCGCAGGGGGTTTCCTGGGGTCGCTGGGACAGATTTTGTTAAGTGAGTCGGTTCCACCTCCCAAAAAGAGACAAACCTTTCACTGCCATGCAGTCAATTCAGACAGAGTAGAACGGCTCCATAAGGTTTTCAAGACTGTAAATCTTTACGGGACAAGACAAATCTCATCTTTCATCCGATGAGTGGCTTTTGGTTAACAGTATAATGCCTAAACTACAGAGCCATCAGGGTTCCCAAGTTCCACCTCCCTTCGAAATAATTTCCGCCTTCATCTCCTTTAAGGTCTGAGGCGGCCCCTGGTGGTCAAAAGGGGATATGTAGCTTCTCTTAACGCCTTCCCTCCAAAGCGTTCCCCGGCTCCAGCTCACTCAGGTTCCTCTCCTGCTCACTCATTCTCCAAGGTTCCCCATGGCCCACCTCTGTGGAGGAAGGGGCAGTAAGTCACCTGCTGTGTCGTCTGAACACAAATCCCAGTCTCTTTGGTGAGACTCAAACTCTGTTCCATCCGTTCACCCATGCAGCTAGACCTACAAAGGTCTCTGCTTCAGAAGGCTAGCATGCCGTTGTTAACTGCCTTCCGACTCTTCGCGACCCTGTATAGGGTTTCTGAGGCTTTTACATTTCGTGGGCACAGAAAGCCTCATCTTTGTCCCACTGAGCAGCTTCCCCGGGGGATGGAGTTCCAACCGCGGACCTTGTGGGTCGCAGTCCAGTGCTTATCATATGGAGGCTCCGTGTAAATTATTGAGTGTTGTTAAGATCCATCGAGTCGGTTCTGACCCATAGCGATCCTGTGTAGGGTTTTGGAGCTGCTGGTGAGCTTGAACCGCCCACCTTACTGCAGGGTTTCCGAGACTGTAAATCTTTACGGAAGCAGAAAGCCTCATCTTTCTTCCGTGGAACTGCAGGTAATTTCGAACGGTTGACCATGAGGGTAGCAGCCCAACTCGTAACTGCTACGCTACCAGTAATGACAATTTTCGGCCTTCTCACAGGACAGAAGCAGGGTCGTGAGATAGCAGGTCCCAAGTGACTCCAGCACTCCTCCCACTAAAGCCCACAGACTCAGGAACAACTGGAGAGGTGAGAAATGAAACATATCCCTGTGCAGGAAAACGAAACTGAAAATCTCAGCTATCCTCTGCTTATACGTAGCTGATTCCCGCGCCCCTAAGTCCACAGATGGGGGAGGGGAAGAGGGTATTTCCCTGGAGCTGGTCATTGGTCAGGGCCGTCCCTATGCTAATGAGGAGGCAGCCCGAGAAGGTTCCAGCGCTGCCCGCCCCAGCTCAAACTCAGAAGAGGTCTGAATGGCTCCCACTCATTCCCCCTATTCACGTGTACCTATGGATGAAGAATTGGAAGACAGAAAGTGTATCAGCACGAAGCTGTTATGCAGAGTTCTGATAGTTCTTCTGGTGGCCATGGTGGTCTTAATAGTGTTCCTGATCTTCTTTGCAGTTATTGCCAACAGCAGCGCCTGCAAGGATGGCCTAGCAGCCCAGCAAAAATGTCAAAACACTACCCAGCTCCTGCAACACCAGCTGACCCAGGCCCAAGAGAGCTTCCGGGGGGCCGAGGCCCAGGCAGTTTCCTGCAAACGGACTGTGGTAAGTGACTGTCTTCATTTTCTAGTGCTACTACAAGTGAATGTCTTTAACAAACAAAAATGTATTCTCTTAACAGAAGACTAGAATACACATTCTAGAGGAAGGCTTTCCCTCTCTGTGGGCTCTGGGGGAAGGGGCATGTCTCCTTTTGGCATCTTTGGACCTTGTGTTCCTTGGAGATCTCCATGAGTTTTAACATCAGTTTTCCCCTGGATTTAGGAGGTTCTCACTGCAAAAGATTTACTCTGCTCCCAGCTCTTTTTGTGTAATAGTAAGTAGAGAAGTCTCTCTCCTCTGCTCTCTTCTCTCCTTTTATTTCTTGTAAGTTAAAAGTATGACTCAAAAATATGACTTATGTAAGGGTGAGGACTCAAGATACACCTCACATTAATCCTATCCCGTTAGCATATATGCCCACTGCCATGCCTGGATTCCAACTCACAGCCACCTATAGGACAAGAGTAGAACTAACTGTTCCTTTGGGTTTTCTGAGACCGTAAACCTTTATGGGAGCAAACAGCCTCATCTTTATCCCTCAGAGTCCACTGGTAGGTTTGAACCACTGATCTTGGGTTAGCAACCCAAAGCTTAACTCCCCGTGCCACCTGAGTTCTATCATATAGAGATTAGGCAGGCTTACATCAAATAATAGAGAATTAGGTTAGGTCACTACATGGAGGACAACCACACAATACTGTCAATCATGGCCTAGCCAAGTTGACATAGAGTTTGGCAGGGAGAAACTGGGGGGTGGGGAGGGGGGGGAGAGATACAATTTAACCCATGACAGCGGCCTAAGCTCTTACCAGGATCCTGTGAGCACAAGCAGAGACAGACAAGAACATAGTCCTCAGACTCTGCCCCTGCTAAATAGGGCAAATCAGATTATTTATACATTAGGAAGAAATGGATGTATATACCAAAGTTCATACTATGCATACAACATGGTATTTATCATACTACACAGGATCACTGAAAAGCTTTATAAACCCTCTATAGGGTCTCTATGAATCAGTAGGAACTGACTTTAAGGCACTTAACAACAACAACAACAATAATATCATTGTTTTGTTAAAGTGCCATTGAGTAGATTCCGACCCATAGCGAGAACCCTGTAAAGGGTTTCCAAGAAGCAGCTGGTGAGCTTGAACCACTGACTTTGCAGTTCAAACGACTTTGCAGTCTGCAGTCTGGCTCATTAGTCTACAGGGCCACACCAGGACTCCAATCGTAGTTTTAGGTTATCATGTTAAATATCGTATCTCCATTTTGGGCGGGGGCAGTGATTTATACAGTGCTAATGAAAACTTTTTTTTTTTTTTTTTTTGGCTGGATAAAATTTATTGCATCCAAAATATCACCAATTGGTTTTAGGAATTATCTGGCCTTGTTTCTATAGCCGGATAGCTTTTATATCTTACTCATTGACTTGTTGGATGATTCCTTTTTCAGACACATAGAGACCATCCAAACTTTTTCAGATATCCTTGTTTTTAACTGTTGTGGCTTGCTGAATTAAAGCAGCTGAATTTGATACAAGTTCAGTGTCTTTTCCTTTAAGAATTAATTCATCTTTCTTGGCTTGAGATACTGACAAATAATACCTGCCCTCATCCGAACCCTGTTGTTATAAATGTTAAATACCATCAAGTCATTCCAACTCATAGGCATCCTGTATACAGTTTCCGAGGAGCAGCTGGTGAGTTTAAACTGCCAACCTTGTGAATCGAACCCATTTTGCTGTCCAGTGCATTATCCTATAGGGCCACACCACTACTCCAAGAACCCTATGGATGTATTTTTCACCTAAGAAGTTTCAGATTTCAACAAGAGACCCGCCCTCTTGGATAACAATGTTGGGGAAATGAGCATGCACAGACTTCATCTTATAACGGAAGCCCAGTGAAATGCCCTTGATCATATTCTACGCATGACTGCAGATAGTGCAAAATGGAGTCAGTTCCTTTCTATTTCCCCACCAAGGAGACTGAATTCTACATTAATGCGATTGAAGTCCCTCTGCAAGTTTCCTCTGGGGCCCTTCGCAATAACTATGTGTCCTTTCAGACTGATGTTGACAGTTGGGTTACTGAGAATGATCTTCAGTCTCACAGTAGATGCAGCAAAGGAAAGGCAATGAAAACTTTTCAGGAGTCCTGGTGTGGTGCTGTGGGTTAATGCGCTAGATTGCATAGTCAGTTTCAACTGCAAGGTTGGTGGTTCAAGCTCACCAGTCATTCCTTGGAAACCCTCTAGAGGTTCGCTATGGGTCGGAACCTGCTATGGATTCGAGTCCCAAAGAAGGATGATGACCACTATAATGTCCAATTTGGAGAATTGTATTGGCACAGCTATAGCCAGACGGCAGGGAGACAATAGATTCTCCTAAGTCTGCGGAGCCGCAGGGAAATGGCTGCTAGTTTATATAAGCTAAATTCTTGGCTGGGGTCTAGGGGCTTATCTAAAGGAATTTGCTGAAGCAGGGAATGTTGTTGTTGTTGTTATGTGCCGTGGAGTCGGTTCTGACTCATAGCAACCCTGTATAGGGTTTCCTAGGCTGTAAAGTCCTGGTGTGGCACTGTGGGTTAATGCACCAGACTGCAAAGTCGTTTGAACTGCAAGGTTGGTGGTTCAAGCTCACCAGTCGCTCCTTGGAAACCCTTTAGAGGGTCGCTATGGGTCGGAACCAACTCTATGGCATTTAACAGCAAATCTTTACGGGAGCAGAAAGCCTCATCTTTCTCCCGTGGAACAGGTGGTAGTTTTGAGCCTTGCTGTTCGCAGCCCGGTTCATAACCACTACAGAAGCAAAATAGTGGATTAGTTTGCTCACAGGAAAACTAGCTAACAATAACAGGGTCAGTGTGACCAGCAGGAGTTCAAATAACAAAACTATAAATCAGTTTGCATAGGTAGAATAATAGGACCATAAATCAGTTATAATGGCCCAAGAGTCCTTGAGGCACATAGTTACATTAACTATTCTAAAGAATGTCCGAGGTTCCTAATCACACCCTAAACACCACCTGTGAGGCTTGTTTCTGCCCTATCTGCCTCAAGGCCAGGGAAATTATGCTGGCTTTGTTGTTGTTGTTGTTATGTGTCGTGGAGTCGGTTCCGACTCATAGCGACCCTGTACGGGATTTCCAAGGCTATACATCTTTACGGGAGTAGAAAGATTCTGAATTTTCATAAGGAGCTCTATTGTTTCAAACCTACTCGAAGGCATTTAACAACAATGGTTACGAATCGAATCGGACTGCAAACCTCAAGGTCACCAGTTCGAAACTACCAGCTGTTCTGCAGGAGAAAAATGAGGCTTTCTGCTCCCATAAAGATTTACAGCCACAGAAACCCTGTACAAGGTCACTATGAGTCGGAACCTACTCCATGGCACATAACCACCATCAATGGCACTTAAAGGAGCTCTGGTAGCATAGTGGTTACAAATCAGGCTGCTAACCTCACGGTCAGCAGTTCGAAACTACCAGCTGTTCCAAGGCTTTCTGCTCCCATAAAGATTTAGTCTTGGAAACCCTGCACAGAGTCGCTATGAGTCGGAACCGACTCCACAGCACATAACAACAACAACAACAACGGCACTTATGGAGTCCTGGTGTGGCGCTGTGGGTTAATGCGCCAGACTGTAAAGCTGTTTGAACTGCAAGGTCAGTGGTTCAAGCTCACTAGCTGCTCCTCGGAAACCCTATCCAGGGTCGCTGAGTTGGAACCGGCTCGACTGCACTTAACAACAACGGTGTAGTGGCTCTGTTGGATCACTACTGGACTTCGAACCACAAGGATGGCAGTTGAAACTCACCAGCGGCTCCTTGGAAATCCTTTACAAGGTCACTATGAGTCGGAACAGACTCAACAGCTCTTCGTAACAACAACAACAATAGTTACAGTGGACTCCTGGTGTGATACACTAGAATAAGCACTTGACGTCAGTTTGAACTGTGAGGTTGTTGTTGTTGTTGTTGTTAAGTGCCATTGAGTCAGTTCTGATCCATAGCGACCCTGTATATATAGGATATCCAAGAAGTGGCTGGTGAGCTTGAACTGCCCAACTTGCAATTCAAATGGCTTTGCAGTCTAGCTCATTAACTCACAGCACCACACCAGGACTCTGTAAGGTAGACAGTGCAAACTCACCAACTACTCCTTGAAAACCCTATACTGGGTCGTTATGAGTTGAAACCAACTTGACTACAAAAAAAAAGGGGGGAAAGCTAAATGGTGTAGTGGGGTAAGCTAACCACAAGGTTCACAGTTCAAACCCACCAACCACTTCATGGGAGAAAAATGAGGCTGTCTGCTCCTCTGAAGTCTTGGAACCACTCTGGAGCAATTCTCCTCTGCCCTCTGGGAGTCTCTGTGAGTTGGAGCCAACTTGAAGACAGTGGAGTGGGAAGGAGAACTTTGGCTGCATCCTGAGAGTTGAACAAGATCAATGTCTGTCATTAGGACAGCAGTAGGTCTCGGCTTCTTTGGAGTTTTCTTACTAGGACTTGGGGGAATTTATAAGTGTAGGTGAGTTTGAAACTCCCAGTGGGCATCTGTCTTTGGGAAACAGAAATCCCCATTAGGCATTGGGTCTGGGGTCCTCACCAGGGCCTGAAGAAGGGGTCTAATGAAGTTCCACTACAAATCTTCACTTGGGTGCAGACGTGGGGGATCTTGAGCTCCCATAAACTCAAACTTGAGCTTGGAAATCCCCGTGACTGGGTTTGAGGGAACTTCTAAATCTTGGCTACTAGCCCAGTAGATTTGCCAGTTTCTATTAGGGTTTGGGAGTCCTGGTGTGGCGCTGTGAATTAATGTACCAGACTGCAAAGCTGTTTGAAGCTCGCCAGTTCAATGGTTCAAGTTCACCAACCAACCCTTGGAAACCCTATAGAGGGTCACTGTGGGTTGGAACTGATTCGATGGCACTTAACAACAACAATCAGGGTTTGGGCATGAGTTTTGATGGAGGGGGACCTCAAAGTTACCTTTCA